CCCCGACCCTTAGTCTGGTTGTAACATATTTATAGGTGTTAATTGTGTATTTAAATTATGCCGCCTGTTCAAGGATCAGAAGTGGAAACTAACAGATTTCAGTGTAATCTAACAGTTTCAAGCATTACTTATTCATCTTTATATTCTACTCTTTTATAGGCATGTCAATACAGTTTCCTTGTAATAACAAACTTTACCTGATTTAAATAAATGCCCTTAATTTTTGCTAATTTTGTATTCTACATATTTGCTAAACTGGTAATTAAGAACATATCATATATATGTTGTTCATATAAAAAGTGCCCAATTTAAATAAGTAATGCACATTATTAAAATCAGGACAATACTAAATAATTAATCTTCTTGAGTAGAATATTAGTAATTACAGAAGAATATTATCCTAAAATGCAGTAATGTCTACATGGTAGAAAGTTTTCCTTGGGTTGTTTCTTAGAACTGAGTAAATTGTCGAGATTCTGTATATAAAAAAATTAGGTGGGGATCAGGTTTCAAAACTACAGCCTTTTGAAACCCCTGTTTTAAGGATTGCTCTGAGTCCTCTTCTAATAATTTCACAGAGACCAATATTAATTATACACGGCACATTTTATTTTGACAAATAGACATTTTTTAACAAAGCCAAAAGACCCAGCTCATAGACTTATCAGTAATGACTTTACTGTTTTTATTTGCACATCTTAAAAAACTATTGGCTTGTCCAAATTCACCAAAAATAATTTCAGAGGTCTTTTGACTTTTAGTAGTAATAGGATACTATATATTCAAAAAAGCATATTGGTATAATAGAATAGTATACTTTTTGCAATAAGAGGTGGGTTGTAATCACATGACAGTTCTATGATTTGAAGACTATTACATAACCTCTCTGAGCATTAATTTCCTTATCTGCTGTAATATGAAATAAATACTAACACTTTAAGAGATATATGTTCAGATATTATGTATAAAACAGTTATCATAGTGCCAGACATAAAGTATCTCTTCCTCTGACTCAAGCTTATTTCCTGAAATAATTTCTTATTCCTTCCTAGAAGCATTGATAAAAATATTTTTTTAAAAAACCCTGAAAAACTCAGTCATTGCTAGAAATCAGAGAGTTTTCAAATTGAATGATACATACAGATATAGATATAGACATAATAGAGATGGGTGTGTATAGACATCTATATTATGTATTCAAATATGAAATATCATTTTTCTTCACATTTAAAAAGTAGTTAATTCAGCTGATTATAATATATATATATTTTTCTTTAATGTAGATATTCAGATATTTTAAAATAAAGGTCAAAATCTTTTGTGAGTGTACCTTTGTCACAGAGTCAAAGCAAAAGCTACATTTTAGTTCCCCTTTACAGTGTCAATTTATATTCCTATTACATTCTGAAAATTCTTCCATAATGCATTTTTCTTTTATTTTTTGAAGGATTGAGAGAAGAGATGTGTTGAATACCACATAGACGGCAATAAAAATGGGGAAAGATTTACAATTTGGGGGGTAAATGACACAATACAGACTCACTTTGTTTAGCTACAGCTTCAGAGTAATCGTCCAGCTATTTTCTACATAATAGAGCATTCATAGCAGTATCAATCACATCTTTTTTTTTCTTACACTACATTTCCCAGCAATATGATGCTGTTGAGAGACCAATTTATGCAAACCATTATATGGCTAAGGAGTTTTGTGTTCCACTTCTACCCAATCTGAATGGAAAACTTTGAGTTACAGTGCCCAACTTTGTCAACAAACCTCACTGGAAGTTTTCTCATGTGAAAAATTGAAC